AAAAATGCAGCAGTGCTGGCCACTTCTCTCATTAACAGAATTCTTTGAAGTCACAATTCAAGGGTCAAGGATAGTGTCCATTCTCTTTTCCGTGCTTTCAGATAAATATGTCCCAATCACTGCTCTCAATGCACTCAGGTGGGTTATGGTCTGTATCAGCGCTAGTCTCCCTACCAGGGGCGGACTGACAACTCATGGGGCCCCCGGGAAATAGGGGATCATGGGACCCCTGTGTCCTTGCCCAAACTCAAAAAAAGCCTATGAAAAAAGGTACCAAGGGCATCTCATGGGGCCCCCTACTGACCCCAGGCCCTTTTTTTTCAAATGGTCAGTCCGCCCCTGCTCCCTACAGAAAGAGAGCCCCTGCTGGGTCTATCTGTGTAGAAGTATTTTGTGAAACACACACAGAGCAGTAACAACACAGTGAGACTTCAGTTGCTCCTCTTCTGACAGTTAAATATCAGGCTACAGTTTTTAAATATTGAATAGCTAAAAGAGACCCTGTTACCAGACCATTTTTACAGATCATATGTGCATTGTGTGCAGCAATCTTTCCAGAAGATCATATGTGCATTTAAATTGTTTTAAGCATGTTATTTACTAGTAAAAATCTTCTTTGTGAAAACTTCCAAATTCCCTGAGAATGCCTCTGGGTGCCACCATCTTGGATGTGATGTCAGCCACCTTAGTAGACTCAAAGATTTCACTCAGGTGACACTGTATAGTATTCCCCTTCACTCCTCTCCCAGCAGCTACATAAAAAGGATATGTAGTTAGGTAAGGGAAGGTGTTAAGGAGTTGAGCCATCAGAGAATGTAAGAAGGCACTCACATTTTTCTAACAAGCTCAAAGACACATTGCATATTAATTTATGGAAAGGAAAACACTGCAATTTTTTAAGCTGCTGACAGGGTCTCCTTAAGTATTTGTAGCTTGCAAATCAAATCAAATTGCAGTTTGCAATCCCTTCTCAACAGCTGTTAAAGCCCTAAAGAAGGCTCCCAAAACACATTGGCTTTTCACCTTTGCTTCAGATGTAATAAATATGTAGTGCTAACCCCAGAGGAGCTGTTGAATTGTTTTGTTCTTTCTTTGCACACCTGAAGATGATAAACCTCGCTCACCTAGCACTTACCAACACACCTTGCAGTATTTCAAAGAATTTATTAGGCCAAGCATAGTCTAAAAGAAGAGAGCAACCAGCAAATGTACATATATAAACAATAAGACAACAACATAACTATGAGAGATATGGTTAAACACCTGCACACAATAAAGGAACAAACCTTCAAGAATTAAGGGACCTTAAAGGCACTGTGCTTAAAGCATCACACATTTGTTAAAATACACATAATTTATTGAATTTCATTAAATGGGGGACAATATATACCACCATATGTTTGCATTGGAACATACAATTATAAAGTATTTGAACATTAAAATCATTTAATTAGGCATCAGCAATATCATGTCCCTCTAGTGTATGTCGATGCATTTTGCAGTTCACAGCTGCTTCATCAGGGTCATCGCAGAACCATCTAGAAAGAGTGGTGCGCGCTCTCTCTCGTTAAAATAAAATACTTCACAGTACAAAAATTATGCAATTATAAAAAATGTTTTTCTTCACACAGTATTCACCAATACTTATAGCTTACCACAATATCAACCACAACTATGCAATAGCTGTTGGTTCATGAGGAGATGACACACTTGATGCCTATATACCCTACCCCCATGTGTATAGGGGAGGGAACGCCGGGCACTTGGCCAAACAGAGGGGAGAATGAGGCAAGGGCCACCACAAAATCGCAGGTTTTCAACTGCAATATAATTCAAAAATAATAACCGTACTAAGTATAACACCATTAAATCTAGAAATACCAATGGGGAGAAAGCAGAGAGAGGAACTTGTACTGATAGATTTAAAATATAGAAGGGGCATGAACTGAATATGTCTATACCTTTAAGAGAAAGGATACAAACCTATCGGGTGTTAGTATCACCCCATTATTTTTATATTCATATTTGTTACTTAAAAATTACATGCAAACTGCTATACATCTCAAACCTAAATCTATATAACCCCCAGTAATCCTCCATAAAAGAAGTCCAGCTATATCCACGTAAGGGGCAAACAAACAATAAAGGAGGCAGACAGGAAGAAAGGGGAAGACAGGCCATTGTTAAATAGTCATCCCTATAGTAAAAGCCCCCAACACATTCCACAGATTAGGCATCATCCACGGGCAACCCTCTTCACCGCAAACCATTAGGCTTACCCAAAATACGGATGCAGTCAATCCCCAAATCAAAGCGGCCAGTAGGATGACAAAACCCGCCAACAAATGGTCTGACAGTAAGGATGATATACCAACAGTAGCCCTAACCATCGCAGCCATCTCTTCCCTATAAGATCCCAGTGGACAAGGCTCCCCGCCCTGACAAGAGTGTGAAATCACGTCGGCCGCAGGCTTTCAGCTGTCGTGCATGCGCCCCACCCACGTCAGAGTGCCATGCCGGTACCCAGAATAAGAGCAGGTTGTGCTCCAAGGGCCGGACCCAATGGAATTGAGTACCTACCTGAGGATAAAGGAAAGAAACCCTCCGCCCTTGTCATCTGGAAACCGGAGTGCCTAACCAAAAAGTAAGGCACCACAATAGTGCGTCACCTCCTCAAATCCAAACCTAAATGGTTATTTAATCAGCTAATACAACAAACCAAATAAATTTAACAAATTATTTTAAACCAATAAATAGAGAAAAGAGAAAAAAAGGAGACAAAAAAAGGCATAAGTAACAAACTACAAACCCACATGCTGTTTACAAAAAGGGCTTAAATGTAAGTGCAGTATTTAAACCAGAAGGATAACTAGCTTTTAAGTTGTATATCCAGCTGACCTCCTGTCGTAGGATTTGATTATCAAAATTGCCACCTCTAGGATCCAAGTAGATCCTGTCCAAGGCAAAAAATTAAATAACACTAGGATTATATCCAAGTATCAGGCCTACATGTACACCAATTGGCAAATACAGTAGACCTGCAGCAATATAATAGAGGTGATCGTGAATCCTTTGGCAGAAAGCTCTCTTCACCTTACCAACGTAGAAAGCCCCGCAAGTACAAGTCATCTATTAAATTATACCAAATGTTTTACAGTCAACATAGTGCTTGGATTTTAAAAGGCCCCCACAAGGAAGGGGATTCCTTCAGATCCAAGGACAGTACTTACATCCTTTTTTAACTTTGTAGATGGCCCCACAATGTCTCTGATGAAGCAGATGTGAACTGCGAAATACGTCGGCATACACTAGTGTGACATGATATTGCTGATGCCTAATTATGTGATTTTTGCCTTATATTTGTATGTTCCAATGCAAACATATGGTGATATATATTGTCCACCTTTTTAATGGACTTCAATAAGTTACATGTATTTTAAAAAATATGTGATGCTTTAAGCACAGTGCCTTTTAAGTCCCTTAATTCTTGAAGGTTTGTCCCTTCGTTGTGTATTGTTTTGTTCTTTGGGATGTGGCATTGTGCGCCTATTCTCTGAGATGTGGGTTATTTAATTTTTTTGTTAAATACCTGTAGTATTCTGACTAACAGTAATAACAGAGCTGAACCTCATTTACCTAGCAATAGTATACACCATCCTAACTTGTCCCAGTTTTATCCCATTGGACAGTAACTGATGAAAAAAGAAATTGGCAAGTAGAGTTGGGACCCCTGAAGAAAGCACAATAATTCTCAGCAGACAATAGATTAACTGGACATAAGCTCTGATTCAGTAAAAGACCAATTCATGTCAGACAGGAATAGAAGTTGCTGGTGATTTCTCTCTTTCAATCCTGCTGAGACAGACTCTTTACAAGAGGTGGGAGTACTCTCTAGTTCCCAGTCTCCTTGCTTCTCTGAGTTCTCACCCAACTCTGGTCAGCTATGGCAGATATTCCTTCATTCAGCACACACCTGCTTGCTTCCAGGACCGTCCCATCACATGTAACATTGCACAGAGTATGATGGCAGTAGCAGTTTCTGATCAGCTCTCTTCTGAGCAGCACAGCATCAGATAGCTCCAGCAAACTTTGGCCACACAACACTGTTCCCCTTCACTGCAACCTTGTGATGCTCTGAGCTGCTCAGCACAGGAAAATGATTGCAGCAGTATTTCTTCCCCAAGGTGGATTCCTCCCTGCATTATGCAGGCTGGTCGCACAACAGATCTCCCTTTCTCCAGCAGCTCAGTTCACTGTTACCTTGCTCTGTTGAATAAGCCAATCACTTTCCTCTAGACCCAGCCAATATTGCTGCCCTCTTCACTAGAGACAATCCATAGACAAGCAGTACAAAATGGTCTCATAAAATGGCTGTTGCACTTCTGCATTAATTAATATTCAGTTTAACCCTGTCCACACTGCAGAATGATAATACAGCAGTAGCAAAGGAAGACATTCAACAGCAGTTATCAGCTACAGTCCATGTTACAAATAAAATCATGCAGGACGTATTGGTACAGTGCGATTCGATACGAATTTATTCGCTGCGAATTTAACTTATTTAAAGGGTTTCTAGGCTTCAGAGAGCCTTTATATTAGTGCAGAACACTGTACCTTTAATTTAAATGCCCTTGGAGTCTGCTGGGGAAGAGAAATAATACTGTCAGTCAGTATGACATGCAGATGAGTGCCGTCGATCTTAGAATCACCGCACACTTCACTCATTTGGGCAGTCACGGGGGAAGAAGAAGAAGAAGAAGAAGAAGAAGAAGAAGAAGAAGAAGAAGAAGAAGAAGAAGAAAAAGAAGAAGAAGAAAGAAGAAGAAGAAGAAGAAGAAGAAGAAGAAGAAGAAGAAGAAGAAGAAGAAGAAGAAGAAGAAGAAGAAGAAGAAGAAGAAGAAGAAGAAGAAGAGCTTAGAAGAAGAAGAAGAAGACTTCTCCAGAAGAAGAAGAAGAAGAAGAAAGAAGAAGAAGAAGAAGAAGAAGAAGAAGAAGAAGAAGAAGAAGAAGAAGAAGAAGAAGAAGAAGAAGAAGAAGAAGAAGAAAGAAGAAGAAGAAGAAGAAGAAGAAGAAGAAGAAGAAGAAGAAGAATGACCGGAAGTGCGGTCAATGCGGAAGAAGAAGAAGAAGAAGAAGAAGAAGAAGAAGAAGAAGAAGAAGAAGAAGAAGAAGAAGAAGAAGAAGAAGAAGAAGAAGAAGAAGAAGAAGAAGAAGGAGGTATCTGCAGAGAGCTCCGCTATTTCTGGCAGTTCTCTGACAGTTCCTTCACATTTACAGCGATTGAAACATTGTATCTATTTGTTTCCGAATAAAAACATCTGTATCCTAAATGGAAACAAATAGATACAATGTTTTCAACCGCTGTAAATGTGAAGGAACTGTCAGAGAACTGTCAGAAATAGCGGAGCTCTCTGCAGGGACACTTTTTGCCGGCTGTAGAAGGGATGAAAATCGGCCGACCGATCGGGAAAAATTCGATTCGCGCATCCGAAGTTTGCTAATATTCGGATTCGGTGCGAATCGAATTTTTCCTATATATTCGAAACGAATTCCACTTCGCCAAGTTCGATTCGCTCATCTCTACTAGTAAGGGCAGAATTTTGCCATAATGATTGAGAAAGAAAATCCTGAAACTGCATATCTTCTTGTCTTGTTCACTTTTCACTCCATCTGTGAAATCTTTCTCCAGTTTACTTAGTTAAACATGCACCGGCTTTGCATCGCCTAACTGTTTATATTCTTCAGTGTGACCTAAAATTTCAGATTTGTTTTTTTTTTTTTGTCCCACATCAACCTTTACTGTAGAGAAAACTTTATATTGAAATTCATAACTAAAGACTATTCATAAGACTAAAGGAATTCTATAAGACTATTTCTATTTCTATGAGACTATTTGACTAGTCTGTGTCTACATTTAAAATAAAACACACACTCAGACACAAATACACCTATGCAATTTCTACTGGACTGGACTGATTACTGCAAGCCATATATTTACACATATGCAAGCACATAATTAGTTACTTTGGCTATATATAGATACGCACACATTATAATGTGATATATTTCCACTTCAATCTATGTCATGTTACATGCCACCATCCATTCATGGCCATAGAAATCACTTTTTTTTGAGTACTACTGTAAAAAAAAATTAAGAAATTTACAACAAGATTGAGTGCATCCTTCTCAATACCCCCTGTTAGTACTTTCCCACCTAATCTTATCCCTGCCTTCCTTTGTCACCATCCTTCCATAGAAGGACATGTATATCCTCGAAGGACCCAGAGCACCCACACAAACACAACTATGCAATGAACCCATTCATTATATATATATGTATGCTGCATAGATGTCTGTGACAGGATGCAATCTTTCCCACCATATTAGACATGCAGGTGTTCAAACTGATGCTTTATTTCCTATCTGGCATATGAACGTGCTGTTTTTCCCTGATTACATCCATGTTGATTCCATACCTTAAAATATGTCATTCCTGGATGGAAAATATCTCTTTATATCAGTATTCCATATATGATTGCTGCTTTCTTCTCTGAGTACTTATAAAGCATAAAAAAGTGTACTGGATAATTTAGGTAACCTAAAAAACCCGTTTAGAAACACAATCTATTAGTAAACAGACAAATGCACAACTATGCAAATAAGTGAATATATAGAGGGACTATATTTTGTAAAATATTTACATAGGTGCTATTCCTGCTGTTGAATTTTATGCAGTAAGACATAATGACTGAGGATGTTACATGCACATTAATGTGCCTCTAAAGTCAAATATAGGCTGGTCGCTCTTAAAGTGGGATTAAACCCTTAGCTTTTTGTAACTCAACACGTTGAGCACAATGCAATAAACATTCCCCAGTAAAGTATTTGTTGTAATGTACAACGTTCAAAGCTACTGACTACTGATCTGTCAGTGCTCCTTCCCTGAACTTCTGGTTTTCACAGGAAAGAGTTAACAGTGGACAGTGTAGTCTGGAGTCAGTCTGTTAGCTTGGAATAGGGAGGGAAAGGAGGCGAACTTCAGGTCTGCAATAAATAATTTAATTAGCAAATTTTGTATAATTTATGATTGCCTGAACTATTTTAACAAACCTTAGAAAGTCAAAGCAATGTAACATAGGAAAAACACTTTTCTCTGTATTCTTGCACTGTATAACCTATCATCATCACACTATTCAAGTGTTCAGGATATGCCTACATCTTCAGTCATTTATCTCAGCTATCCTCTGCTGGCTCAACAGGCATTCTAGTTAGAAAGGGAAATATACCCGATGTGTTAGTAGCATTTATTTTGACATATTTTTTCTATTAATGTTCAGTGAAACATATGGGTATGTGTTATTCTGCACATCAATCCTTATTTCCCTGCATATTTACATTCATTTATATCACTTGTAACTGCCATATAAATTGTTCTCTGTCATTTGAACGATGGAAATACTGAGCAAGACTAGCAGTAAAAAAAACGTATTGACTCATTTTAAGACTGCATCCAGTGAACAAGACTTTACCTTCTACTGATGTTGGCTCATCAATGCAGCAGTGTCCATCTACAAAACAAAAACAAATATGTATATAGGGCTCACAATTTCAAGTCCTGAGCTACTAGAGGAAAGGAGGGTAGGAAGGGTGGAAGGAAGGGTAGGAAGGATGGGAGGGAGGGAGGGTGGAAGGAAGGAAGGGTAGGAAGGAAGGGGGGGGTGGAAAGAAAGGTGAAAAGGACGAGTGGAAGGAAGGGTGGGAGGGGGTGGTTGAAAGAGAGGGAGGGGTGGAAAGGAATGGAGGGGGGGGGAGTGGTGGAAAGGAAGGGAGGGAGGGGTGCAAAGGAAGGGAGGTGTGAAAGAAAGGAATAGGAGGAAGGGGGGAGGTGTGGAAGGGAGGGAGTTGTGGAAGGAAGCGGTGGGGAAGGGAGGGGTGGAAGGGGGGAGGGGTGGAAGGAAGGAAGGGGGGGGGGAAGGGAGGGAGGGGGGAAGGGGGGGGAGGGGGGGGGGGAAGGAAGGGGGGGAAGGAAGGGGGGGGGGGGGTGGGGGGAAGGGGGGGGAGGGGAAAGGGGGGGGGTGGGAAGGGGAGGGGTGGGGGGGGGTGCAAAGGGGGAAAGGGGGGGGGGGAAGGGGGGAAGGAAGGAAGGGGGGGAAGGAAGGAAGGAAGGGGGAAGGGGGAAGGAAGGGGAAGGAAGGGAGAGGTGGAAGGAAGGGAGGTGTGGAAGGGAGGGGGGGGGAAGGAAGGGCAGGGTGAGAGGAAAGGGTGGGAAGGAAGGGGGGGGAGGTGTAGGAAGGAAAGGGGAAGGGGGGGGGGGGAAGGGAGGGGGGAGGGGTGGAAGGGGGGAGGGCAGGGATTGAGGAGGTGGAAGGGAAGGGGGGGGGGGGAAGGGGGGTGGGAGGGGTGAAAGGAGGGGGTGGGGGAAGGGGGGGGGGGGGGTGGGGGGGGGGGGGGGGGGGAAGGGGGAAGGGAGGGGGGAAGGGGGGGGGGGGGGAGGTGGGGAAGGGAGGGGGCAAAGGAATGGAGGGGTTGAAGGGAGGGAGGAAGGGAGGGGGGGAGGGGGGGGGGGGGAGGGGGGGGGGAAGGGGTGGGATGGGGGAGGGAGGTGTGGGAAGGGAGGGTGGGAGGGGAAGGGTGAAAGGAGGAGTGGAAGGAAGGGAGGGTGGGGGGGGGTAGAATGAGGGAGGGCAGGGAGGGAAGGGTGTAAAGAAGGGGTGGAAGGAAGGGGAGGGGAAGAAAGAGTGGGAAAGAAATGGTGGGAGGGATGGAAAGGAGGGGGTGGGGGGTGAAAAGGAAGGGGGGGGGGTGGGGGAGGGAGGGGGGGGGAGGAAGGAAGGGGGGGGGGGGTGGAAGGGAGGGGGGGGGTGGAAGAAAGGGGGGGTGGAAGGAAGGGAGGGGGGGGAAGGAAGGGGGGGGGTGGAGGGGGGGGGGGTGGGGGGGGTGGGGGGAAGGGGAAGTGAGGCAGGGATGGAAGGAAGTGAGGGAGGGATGGAAGGAAAGAATGAAGAAAGGAAGGAAGGGAGGGGTGGGTGGAAGGAAAGCAGAAAGGTTTGGGATGGAAGGAAGGGAGGGAGGGGTGGAAGGAAGGGAGGGAAGGAAAGAAGGGAGGGGTGAAAGGAAGGAAGGGAGGGGTGGGTGGAAAGAAGGAAGAAGGGGGGTTGGGTGGAAGGAAGGGAGGTCGGACTTGAAAGGAATTGTCTTCTCGTTCCTCTCTGCACTGACCCCCGTCAGCCCCTGGCCTTGATCAGTAATTACCCCTCAGATCTGGAGCCCCCTTTGAGACACAGGAAAATGCACACAGACACAAGGTGGTATCTCAGAAGGAACTGAATTTATTCTTCCGTGTTTAAACTTATATATGAAACTTAAAACAATGCATAGAAATATAAGAACCAATCAATTGACAGGTATGCATTTAACCAATCAGAATATTACATACGTCAGTCATGCCCAATCAGTTGGCATATATGTTAATTATTATTATATGCGTCAAGCTTGAACTTTTGAACAGCACAGAAAGCAGACAATTCCCCTTTTAACGCTGGCTATAGTTATTAATACTCTTGCAACAGGATGTAGCCCACCACAGGCTTTCAGTCTTGTGCTAGCTAAGGGAAAAAGGGGAAGTTACACCTGGACAAAAAGAGGAACTTTTAACTCCTGACAAAATACCGTTTAAAACAAGAAAGTCAATTCTTTTTAAAATACTGACTTAAGATGGATACTGATTCTAAAATGGAAGGGCTTTGGCTCAGAGAGACAAGATGGCCGAGACATCAAACTTAAGGGCTAATCCCTTCAGGACTCACATGACTCAGTCAGAAGAATCAGAGCTGTTGGCTTCTCTGTGTTCAATTTCCCACCCACACATCCTCTGAAGCTGCATGGACGTGAGTGTGGGCGGGCACAGAGGGAGGCAGAGGCAGATTTTCCCAGATCCAGCCTCCTTCCCCTCTTCTCCTATTAGTGTGGAGGATGGTGGGAGGGGCTGGGCTGAGAAGGGGCTGAGAAGCACACAGGGGGGGGGGGGGGGGGGAGTGCACAAAGAAACAGAATGATTGGGGATGATTGGTGCAGCTGTGGGGGGTGGTGTCAAGCAGCGATCTCCCTGTATGTCTTTCAATGAAGCAGCTAGAAGCATCTCCTCCTCCTCTCCCTCCCACGGCTTCCAGCTGCTTCGTTGAAAGACATACAGAGAGATCGCTGCTTGTCGCCGGCCCTCCCCACACACACCCCTAATTCCAGCGCTGCTCGCCCCCATCTTATTTCCTCTCGACCAATGCGGGCGGGCGACTGGAAATTTTGAGGGTGTATATGATATCGAGGTACTCATGGGTCTTGTAGAAGAGACAGATCAATGCATATACAGTCATAGCCAAAAATATTGGCACCCCTGCATTTCTGTCAGATAATGCACCACTTCACCCAGAAAATTGGTGCAATTACAAATGTTTAGGCATTCTCTTGTTTATTTCTTTTGTT